TGAGAGTTGGACCATAAAGAAACTGAGCGCCAAAGAATTGATGCATTTGAACTGTGGTGTTGGAGAAGTCTCTTGAGAGTCCCTTGGATGGCAAGAAGATCACACCAGTCAATCCTAAAGGAAATCAGTCCTGAATATTCATCAGAAGGACTGATGCTAAAGCTGAGGCTCCAATACTTTGGCCACCTGATCCGAAGAACCAACTGTTTAGAAAAGACCCTGATGCTGGGAAAGACTAAAGGCAGGAGAAGGGGAAAGGGATGACAGAGAATGAGATGGTTGGGTGGCATCACCATCTCTATGGATATGAATTTGAACAAGCTCCAGGAGTTGGTGATGGACAGGGAAGCCTGGAGTGCTTCAAATCATGGGGTCGCAGAGTTAGACAGGACTGAATGACTGAACTGAACTGAACCAAAAAAGAAAGAGGATGAAGAGAAAAAAACTACTTCTTTCAGTAAATTACTGTCTTGTAGAGGAACTAAAATATCTATAGGAAAAATTGCATCTCAAAGCAGATTGTGTTAACTCTGAATAGTCATCCAGAGTGTTTGGGAGTATAAAGGAAAGATAAAATGCCCAGTGCATTGAAAAATAGATAGTGATTAATACAAATAAACTCCAAAAAAAGTGTTTAAGACCATGCTGGACTCCAAAATAAATTCTGGAAGAGAATATTTTCCTAGATGTTATAATGCAGGTATAGTGACATTATTTCTCTAAAGTCTATGTAAAACTCTAGTGAGGTTTTCTTTACCTGCCTTAAGCTCAAGCTATTTTTACAACTCTGTAAATTCAGGTATTACTAGATGAAAGCTTAATGTTAAGTCAATTGTTAGCACATATAACCTTCAACATGAATGGTGGTATTCAGAATGGCAACATAGAAATCATCAGAGTTCTAAACAACTGACTCCCTTTCTTGTGGCTCACTATGGCTGGATATGAAACTCTAGGTTTCCTTTGTCCTTCTGAGCCACTCAGAAATACAGTGTGAAAGCAAACTGCTGCATGCTAGATGGTTGGATGGCATCACCCGCTCAATGGACACGAGTTTGAGCAAGCTCCGGGAGTTGGCGAAGGACAGGGAAGACTGGCGTGCTGCAATCCATGGGGTCACAAAGAGTCGGACATGATGGAGAAACTGAACAATAGTGGCTTTCCAAAACATCAAAGTATAGTGTAAAACTGTAGGCAAATGATAAGGAGAATGAAGAAGAATGTTAATGATAAACACTTGGGTAAAGGTAGAAGATAAGAAGGATCCAGAGAAGAAACAGGTAGATTAAGCCAAGGTCCCCAACATGAACATGAAGAGAATCTGAGGGAAAAAGGAGGAAGTCTTTTCCAGTTGATTATCTATTTTGTGACAGGTACTGTGTAAGATTCTAAGTGTACAAAATACTGAAAAGATATCTTGGGGGAGATTTTATTATTGTCACATCTACACTGTGCCTCCCTACCGGTTCTGCCTAGGGGAGGATTACAGTTCCTGCCCCATCAACATCAAGCTTGGTTGTAGGACTTGACTTGGTTAATGAAATGTGAGTGGAAGTGCCCATGGGCTCCTTCTGAGCAGAAGGTGTAAGAACCATCGCATACTCTTACCATGTCTTTTCCCCTTTAATATGAACCCCATAATGTTCCAGGCTGGGGTTGCTTCTCCAGCCTGGATCTCAGAGTGAAGGGAAGATGAAGAACAAGTCTGTGTACATTTTCATAAGTGAGAAACCAACCTGCTCTTAAAAGCCAAAGAGGTATTGACACCACAGCATGACCTACTGTAAAAAGCCTGATACCATGGTTCACCATCAAGAGCGGAAATGCAGAAAGGCAGAGGAGGTTGAAATCTAATAACAGCAAAAAAAAAAAAAAAAAATCCAGTGGAGTTATTGAGCAGAAAAGCATTAAAG